CTTCATGCACACTGTTATCCATGACAGATACTTAACAGGTCTTGTTGTTTGGGCTGTGTGGGGTTTTTTTTCATTCTTTCATCCTCAGGAGGAGATGTAGTGAGTCAGTTTGAGCTGGACTTCAGTTACCTGGCATCGAGTTGGTAAGATAATGAGGTTGCTTTCTTTCATATTTAATAGGGGTTTTTTTGTATAATCATATTTAAGAAAATTACATATAATATCACGTAATTCTGTATTAATCTGGTTTTTTGTAAATGCTGTCCTTTATTTTTCTTTCAAAAAAACCCCTTGCAACTCTTCTAAATGTTATGTGTTTGGTATTCCTTATATGCATACCTGACATAAAAACTGGAAGGACAGAAAAGAGTTTTATGTATAGGAACACAGCAAAAAATATTAAATTATTTATGTCTTAAGTTATAAATAGTTTATGTAAAATAACTAAGTGAAAACCTTTTGCTGGAATGTCCCAGCAGCTAATTAAATAACTCAGTTAAGTGGCAATCTCAGTGAGATATATTTAAAGTTTGGGAAGTTGAGGATGTTGAATTCAGTTTTAAAAGCATAAAAATGAGCAGAAGACTTCAATATCCACTTTTTTTTTCCCTCACAGTTGCATGTGCAATCCTGGTATTTGTAGATTTTCATGACCTTATGTAGTCTTTTGAAATCTGGAATATTTTATAGGCTGTTGATATTACAATAACTGCAATATTTTATCACGTGATGTGAACCATCTATTGTCGTAATACATTCTTTTTGTTTTTAGGTATGTACCTGTCAAAGACCTAGCTGCTATCTATAAGGAATTTTATGGAAAAGAGGTCATAACTGAAAGCACAATTGTTGAATGTACTCATCTGCTGTTTTTTGAACTGTAAGTTGAATATCTCTGCCTGAGCTTTTGTAAGTGAAACAGATGTAGGAGAAATATGATAATCATATTTGAAACGCCTTACGCAACGAAGACTCCCTCCTAGACCCCAAAATCACAGAACATCTGAATTTTTTAATGACTAGGATTCAAATTTAGACTACATAATGACTGCTAAATTATTGCATCACGGATGGTGAATCTTGGCTATTTAATGCATTTATACATTTAACGTATTTATGCCTATTTATTTGAGAACAGCTGTGTCTTCAAGTACCATTTCACTGTGGTGAGTTAGCAGTATAATTATCATGCACTGAAGGAGTCTCTAGATACATGCCTTATCTACACTTTATGTAGATCCCTTAAAGTCCAAGAATAATTCATAGAAGAATTTGGATATCTGGCAGTGTCTGCTTTTGAATATCCTGAACAGCTTAGCTGTATCCTGTATTTCAGTTAATTACCAATAGTGACACAACATTTACAAAAATTGTGAATCCTTCAAAATCAAGGGCAGAAAAGTTTATATTGTTTTACATTACAACTTTAAAAATATATTAATTATCAACATGGAAATGTAATGCCTTGCATAATATTTACCATATAGGACTTTTGAAAAGAACTATTTAAACTATTAAGCATTAAATTAAGCAAGTTTCATTTCTGATTTTTTTTTTTTTTCAGGCATGGAGAAAGGCTTCTTGTTGGCAAGGTTGGTTTTCAGCTTTCTTTATAAAAATGATAATGGAGATGATGTGATCCTTCTTACTGAATATGTTGCCTGTCCTTTAGCTTTTTCCACCATTTGCTAGTAAATCTCCATTTCTGGTGGAGAAGTTCCACGAATATTTCCTTGGGGGAGTGGATGACATGGCATTCTGGACCAACAACATTTTTGAGCTGACGAGCCATATGCTAGAGAATGGAACCAGGTATAGTGTGTGTCCTGAACTATGAAATGCAGTAGTCAAGTGCTGACACCCACTTAAGTGTTCTTCTTAAGGCATGATCTTTCCTAGAATAGGTGCTGAGCTTTATATCCTCACTTGGACAAGGGGATTTCCATGTCTGCCTTTTACCTGGGTGCACAGGATTATGCAGGCCTTGCATTTGTATTTTTTATGTGTTCTCACTCCTTTGCCCTAGTGTGCCTCTGGCATGCCTAGGTGACACCAGGGAAAATTTGGGGCATTCTTTAAGACATACTCAAGGGTTTGCTTAAATGTTGCATAGGCATGCCCTGAGGTTCTGCCTGGACTGGCAATCTGAGTCTGCACATTTTGGCGGCTGCCATCATCCAACAAAGATGTCCCTATTGAGAAAATGTCAGGTATTACCTTCAGACTCTAAAGGCAAATCAGATTAGAAAGAGTAGGAATATATATTCTAGTGTTTAAGCTCACAATTTCTTCTATCATTATAGAAGTTTAACCTTGTATAGCTCTCTTACAAATAAAACCTTTCTTCTTTAGAAGACCAACAGTGGTAATCAATCCATCCATTTACATAGAAAATACCACTGTTGCTATTTTGGGAAATTTTGCTTGAAATACCAAATGAAACAATCTGCTATGTTCTTTGTAACACTTTGATTAAAAGTGCTTTAGATTCATATACATGCATGCTACAATGTTTCCTTCAAGAGCTCTATAAAGACGTGCTATTCATACAGAATCGGCTCAAGGTCATCAAATAAACATCATAGGGGTTTCTAAGGGTTATGATGATGCTCTGATTTTGATTTTCTTGAGAAACTGATGACTTTTAGCAGAGTAATCAGTAAGGATAAAAGTTGTATTTTTAGTTTCATTTCCATTGCAGTAAAATCTTTAAAATGCATTCTCTGTATTTTTTTGTAGTGACTGCTACTTGCCTGAGAACCCTCTGTTCATAAACTGCACAAAGGCGCACAAGGACAGCCCCGTGTAAGTATAGCTCTGATGGTTTAAAGCTTCAGCGATGAAAGGAGGGTCTTCTGCTGATGTGGACAGTCAGCCACTTAAAATTAGAGATATTTTGGGTAACCTTTTTGTGTATGAATTTGAAATTCTTTTAGTATGAATAACTAAGTTTTGTATAAAGGCACTGTGCAGAACTTAAGAGTGTCTTTTATTTCAAGTCATTATTTCAGTTATATTAATTCTTACCACTGCCTTCTTTATTTTAGCAGAAACAAACAATCGAAACATGAACATCACAAGAATACAACTTCTTTGCTTACAGAAACACTTGAGAAGAATATAAACTATACAGAGAGAGGAGTTCACATACAGCCTTGGGCAACAGTAAGTGAGAAGTAACAGATGTGTCAGGTAAAATTCATCTCTATATTGTTTTTGTTTCTATCTGAAATGCTGCATGATGGAGCAGGGTCTCTGGATGGTCTCTGACTTCATGGACATTCCAGTACCATTGTTAATCTATATATGTACATCATAAATATTCAATTTTTAAACTTTGCTCATTGTATAGTGAAGTTAGAATACATCCTGCAATGCCCAAAATGACAAAATATATATTTATTATTTACATTTTATAGACACATGATGGGTTAAGAACTCCCAGCAAAGCTTACTAGTGAATGATTAGTAGTGCTCCCTTTAGAGCTTACAGATTTTTGTCTTTCTAAAATGGTGCTTATGTTCTGAGTCAGATTCCTCTTAAATCCATGTAGTGATTTCCACTATGGGTGACTTGATTTTTGAGGTCTCCCAATATTTCTAGAGTTTCAACCTGTGTTTAAACCACTATTGTGTCCATTTATTATTTTTACTTCAGAAATTCCTCGGCGTGATAAACCATGCTTTAAAAACCAATGTCTGGAGAGCATTAGGAGCTACACATCAGAAATCTTCTAAGCATGTGTCCAAGCCAGCAGCTTCATATTTTCTGACTTCACCCTATGCAAGGCTTGGATGGTAGGTAACTTTTTTCATCCCACTTTCCTCTTAATTTCTGAAAATTTTGAATATCTACCAAAATATTATTGTTGGTCCTTTGGATACTCTTCAAAGGTTACAGTGCAACTCAATTAGTGGTACAAATCTGATGGAATGGCTTATATTGTATGTCCAAAACATCAATTTAATGCATAAGATTTTTCTTTCAGATGTTGATCAAGCTCAGAATGGAAGGAACCAATATTAGAACTAACATTGTCTCTAGTTCTGAACAGTAAAAAATCGCTGTTACCCTTTTTTGGTTGTTGAATGATGTTTGTGCAAAATTAATCATCTGTCTGATGATGTCTAGCAAAACTTCTTGGAAATACTCTAGACTACTAGGGAGTTCAAAGATAGATTCAGGACAGAGAGAGGCATATACTCTCTCCTTGCCAATGAGGTTCTACCTTGACCAGCAACAAGGAAGAGAAATAAAACAAATTTGCATTGCTACTTATCTAACTTCCCTTATTCTGTCCCAAAAGGATGATTTAATTTTTGAGTTTACTTCACACTGGCTAAATTAACAGTAGTTAGTTCTTTCCATGCTCCTTCTCTAAACTACAGCATGTTACTGAGACCTGTGATCCTTTTGCTTATCTCCTGTTAAGTCCATCTATTAAATCAGATGTTCAGTTTAAAAGATATTTAATCTCTTCTTTTTTTGCTATTCTTTGTCATATGCAAGCAGCCCTTTTTCATGCTCCTTGCTCTGATAGCTCTCAGGTGCTTAACGTCAGTAAAAAGCAGTTCCTACAGATCTCAGATGCATTGATAGAAGATGATTCTTCTGGTTTTACTTAATTCAAGAAAACACAAATAAATATATAATACAAAAAATGCTGTATCAATCTTTACAAAACAATATGGGAAAACACAGGTCCTGGTTATCTGAATTATGGGGTTTTTTTCCACTAATGTTTGGTAGTCTGGAAATTAATGCTGGTTTTGTTGACTTCCTTGCTGACAGGTCACTGATCTCAGCTGACCTAAACCAGGATGGATATGATGATCTGGTGGCTGGAGCACCAGGGTACAGCACCATGGGCCATGTTCAGATAGGAAGGGTATATGTGGTGTATGGCAGCCAGTCAGGTTTGCCACCAGAGGACATGGATCTGGATGGAAAAGCTGACCGAGTACTACAGGGTCATCAGGTAAGGGATCAAGACAAAAATTTGTCCCTTTTTTTTTTTTTTTTTGCCTGGAAAATGGTGAATTCTGAATGAGCAATGGTATCATTAATGTTTATGAGTATTATTCCTGAAACACTCCTCCTGATGTCATATGATGTCATATGCTTTTCAAGAAAAATAATCATTATTAAAGTCCCAATTGAAGTGATGGTGATCTGTAGGTTCACTTCCATTACTGTGCCAGATAAGTGAGTATTAGACCACAAAGTGCCCTTTAAATAAAATTCAGGTTGTGTCTCTGTAAGTCACAGTATAGTTAATTGTGGTCCCTGCATTTAAGAAAATATTCTGTTTCCTGTCCTTTTTAATCTAAAATTTTTGATTTGTTAACCTTGCCCTAAATAATTTTGTCCGTAGTAAGAGTATTGAAAAAAGAAAGAGAAAACTCTGAGTAGACATGATGGTGGCTAGTTTGTAACCAATAAGTAAGAGCAAATTACACTTCTGGGTGTTAAATATGATGCTCTGTAGAAAATACCTTTATTCATAAAGAAGATAATAAAGACAATAAAAATAATAAGATATATTTCCTTTTAATTTGTTTCTGTGGTTATAAACTGTGCAGTAACAGCTTCTGTCTTTAGTGGTCACTATGTTTTAGTGGTTCCCAGTGTTTTAGTGGTTCCCAGTCATAATGCTGTCAACAGGAAAGACCATAAACTTGATACCAATGGTGCACTGGAATCAGAAGAGGAAATAGCAAAGCAGCACCATATTCATATTATATTCATTTGTCCTTAATTTCAACACAGATGACTTTGAATTAGTGTGTTGTCATGGGGGTTATTACTTAGAAGATAAAGAATTATTGGGATAGATTTCTGTCATCTGTTTCCAGTTCTGCAAACGTACATTTGATTTTCATGGTTTTGACTGGAAAACATGAGAGCAATCCCTTTTCTTTTAGCCTTCAGGAAGATTTGGTTCTGCCTTGGCAGTCCTGGACTTCAATGAGGATGGAGTGCCAGATCTGGCAATTGGAGCACCTTCTGTGGGATCTCAGTTTCTTACTTACAAAGTAAGTTACAAACATGTCTTTGTTGTTTTTTAAACTCTCCAAATGGAATGTTTTTATTGATACATATTTTTTTAACATTTAAATGAAAAAGAGAAATTCTGTTGTTGTTCAAGGTGACGTAATTTAAACAGAAGTTTAGAACCTTTGTGGGAACTTTGACTAGAGCAATGACAGCTACCTGTATTTCTCTTTTAGTGGCCTTTTTGCACACTAGAAATCCAAACCAGATTGCAGCTTTGCAGCACTGGCATGCTGGAAATATAAGGGGCCGTTCATGAAACACAAATGTACCCTTTTTGTTTAGGAACAGAGAGTCTGGAATGGACCTCATGGACCAATGAATTTTGTCATACACTGTCACAAGGCCAACAATTGATATCTAAAATGTGATATAAACACAGACCCACTTGCTAAAATAAACAAATTACAGAGGCTTAATGACTTGCAGCTTACCAGATAAGCCCATATAATGGTCCCTGAGTATTTTTAGGCCATGCAAACTGAGAGACAAAATGTTTCCATTTAAACTATTAAACATTAAGCTTAAAACTCTTCAGAATTTTAGGTACTAATTTAGCTGTCTAAATAACAATTTAAGTTGCTTTTATTTAGACTCACTACTTGGAAAATTGTATGCATATGTTGTGCCTGGCACTGTTTGCTATTGCATTAAATAATAATTGTCAAAATTTGAGCCATCTGAAGATGTGTATTATGAGTTTAGATATACACTATACTGCCCTTGTTCCTTACACACAGTATGATGAAAATGTACTTCTCTACTTTGTTGCTTGGTTACAGCAGTACCCATTACTCATGGATATTCTTAGATTTGGGGTGGGAAAGAAAATATTATGGGAAAGCTCTGAGAGGGAAAATGAAGTTGTATGAATAGCCCTTTCAGAACTATTTGTTCCACTCCTTGTGATTGACCTTGCATTTAATATTTGTTACTGACATGCTTTCATGCCTTATTTTCTTTTTTTGCTGTTTAGGGTGCTGTGTATGTCTACTTTGGAATTGAGGGAAGAGGCTTGGCACCTCAGCCAAACGTTACCATAACTTGTCAGGTATATTGATAATGTAATGTCCTGTTTATCTGTTTATCCCTGTTAGCCAGGATAACACAGGGCTACACAGGCAGGAGGTGAGATAAAGGGGGAAAGAACTTATGGGCTTAAAAAAAGAATGTTAAAATTCAACTTACCATTGCAAGGAAATTTAGACTGATGTGGATGGAGCAAGAAAGTGCTTGGTTAGATTGGTTGTATTTGGGAAAGACATTTATACCCCAGTGTAAGAAGGCAGCAGGGTGACTAGAAGGGTGCATAGCCCTCAAAACGAAAAAAAAAAAAAAAAAAAACACCAAAAAACCCCGACCCAAACCAAACTAAGACACTAAGAAAACAAAATTTAAGCCAGGGAGTGGGAGGGTAATTTGGTCAAAAGCAAATTTAGCTCTTTAGAATTAAATTGCTCTATTTTGCTACAGAATTGATGGTTTCAGATCTATTTCAGGCTTAAACTAACTGTTTATTGCAGTATTCCTACTGTAATCTTGGTTGGTCCCTTCTGGCAGCTGATGTTGATGGGAATGGAAATGCTGATCTGGTTGTGGGCTCTCCATATGCACCTGGTGGTGGGAAGCAGAGAGGATTTGTAGTTGCATTTCACTCTAATATCAACAGGAATCACCAAGGTAATATTTGCTGAGTAAATTAACCCTCCCATACTTTATGTGACTGGTTATTTGTTCCTTATTAATCATGGCATAATTCAGGTTTAAAGCGATCTCAGAGGGTGTCCCTCCTACTCAAGCTGTGAAGCCAGACCAAATTGCTCAGGGCTTTGTCCAACTGCATTTAAAACCTCCAGTGGTAGAAATTGCAGAGACGCTCTGGGCAATTGTTCTACTTCTTGGCAGTCCTCATAGGGAAAAAAACTCTTGTTACAGCCAGTATGAACCTTTCTTGTTTCAGTTTATGTTCATTGTCTATTGTCCTCCCACCATGCATAGTGACCTTATAGGCACAGAAAGCATGGAGCATCCCTACTAAACTTGCTTCAGTTTGTCAACATCTTTCCTATTATGGAACAACATATTATAGGTGTGATCTAGGGAGCAATCACTTCTCTCAGTCTCTTTGCCATGCTCCTGCTTACATAGTCTGAGGCACTGTTGGCTGTCTGCTGGCAGAGCCTCACACTCAACTCTCTGCCCACCAGGATCTCCAGGGCCTTTTCCTCACAGCAGCTCCTCAGCCAGTCTGTCCCCAGCTGTATCTGTGCAAGGACATCTCCTTTCCCAGGGTCAAGCTTTGCATTTGTCCTCACTGCATTTTGTGAAGTTTCTGTTAGCCTGTTGCTCCAGCCTGCCTGGGTGCCTCTGAATGAGACCTGCAATCTCCTGTTTCTGCCAGCTTCACAAAAGAGCATCTTTTTGCCTTGTCTAAATAATTTATAATAAAGTGTTCAACAGGATGAGTCAAAAAATTGATGCCTGAAGGCACTCCACTTGTTGCAGACATTCAGAGAACAGCACATGTTTCTCTGCTCTTGTCAGAGGGAAAATCTCTACCGGTTGACTGGTTTTCTGTCCATTCAGACTACAATGTCCCAGCTTGGATGCAAGACCAATTGTAGGAAACTGGGTTGGAAACCTTGCTAAAGCAATGGATTCAACTATCTATTGTGACTTCAGGGTAGGCTCACTGCTCTTTCTTGGAAAATTGCAAATGAACCTCAACAAATGAATCTTTATCCCATTCTGTACGTTCCTTCACGTGACTACAGAGGAATGCTGCAACTGAATGAGTACAGGTGATAAGGTTTCTAGCGAATGAGGGAGGAAATGTCATATATGGAACTAAATAATAAAGCTTGGGCAGCTTTTCTCACAATTATGTAATTGAGATTTACAATAATGCTTTACTGCTGCAGATTATTCTAATTCATGTAAAATTAGAAACCACAAGAACATGTGTTTCCAAACACTGCTAACTAACATTTTCATGAAACCAAAGCACAGAATGAGTTATTTAATTATAGCCAGAATGATCTGAAGCTCTCCCACACAGCACCCTTAAAGAATTACAAGTTCTGATAAACAGTAAGTAGTTTAGGGCAGGCTCGAGTGGTAACTTTCATGTACTTAATGTAGCTGTTGGAAGGACTGAGAAACAGGCTGTGTCTAATGAAAGCTTTCACCAGCCACTAGAGCTGCAAGGTGAGCAAGCAAAGTCAACAACTACTGATGCCATGCCATGGACAGTGTAACTTTTTTACAGAGAAACTTGTTATAGGATGAATCAGTGGAGGATTGCAAATAGGTTTTTCAATGCCAGAGCATACCAAGATTTAACTCATACTTTTTTCTGGTCTCTCAGGACTTCTGTCAGTACAGGATGCCAACTGGATGGTGCAGGGGGAGGAAAACTATGCTTGGTTTGGATTTTCACTTGCCAGCTGCCAGCTGGAGAATGTGACATTACTGCTGATTGGTAGCCCTACATGGAAGGCTTGTTCTAGGTGTGTTGCATGTGACAGCTTGCTGTCTTCTCCCCTCTGCTCTACTTCTGCAAGGTTTAAGATTTGCAATAGATTAAAATTCTAGCTTTTTTGAAATCTTCCTTTTTGTTCTGCTTAGAATATTTTTATTAAATTAATATTTTTATGTCTTTACCCTTCCTTATGAAGACAAGGATTTTTAGACCCTCTCTAGGGCAGGTCTTTGTTATTTAAAGACACCTAAGAATTTCTTAGGTTTCTGTGGGGAGGGAGGAGAGAGGTCTCAAAAATCCTGATGTGTAAGTGTGCCTTAAATAACCATATGGATAGCTCTTACTTTGTGATAGCATTTTTAAAAGCAAATTAAACATGAAGATGTATTGAATGATAAAAAAGTGGATAGACAGACCAAGTCTGCACTCTAAGTATTGTGTAATTAGTTAGAACAATTATAAGAATTACTAAAGTAGATTTCTAGAACTTGTCAGGCACTATTATTCCACAGTAAAGGAGGGAACATGTACAATAATATGTTGTTATATACAAATTTGTTTTGCATTGTAATTCAAGCTGCAATCCCCTCTTGCTGGATGTCAGACAGAGTGTTGGGAAGGTGTATGGGTATAACCCACCAAGTACAGAGTGCTGGTTTGAGATAACTGGAGACAAGGTAGGGCTGCTTCTTTAGTGTGGGACCTTATGAATAATTTGAAGTGATATTCTGTAGAAATTACATAGGTGTTTTAAAAATCTAACAGGAGATGGGCAGAATGGGTTTGTCTCTGGCCAGTGGTGTGCTGTCTGTGGCCGGGAACACAAAGAAAGTTTTGGTGGTGGGTG